TGCCTCAGCGATCTTTTTAAATGACTCGCCCTCTTTGGTGAAAACGAAGATCAACAAGTATGCCTTTTCTGGAGGCCAGGTCGATATCGACACGCATCGCCAATTGGGCGGAAATACTGACGTCGATGTCGCCTACCAGTACCTTCGATTTTTGCACACCGACGATGTGGAGTTGGAAAAATTGGGCAAAGTATTGATAGTGCATGCAATAACCGTGTAGGAATATCGATCTGGATCTCTGCTTACTGGCGAGCTCAAAGCACGTTGCATTGAGGTGGTGTCTGAATTTGTTCTTAACTTTCAAAATGCAAGGGCAAAAATCAACGATGATGTCCTCAAGCAATTTATGAGACTACCCGCCCAGATAAGGGAGGATCAATTGATTGCCGAAATTAATTCCCTCAAGGCTCAACTCGAGCATTAAACGTTGAAGTTTTTTAATTTAATTTTAATTTTGGATTTTGGATTTTTTTTATTTTTATTTTAAATTTGGATTTTTTGTCTATTTTTAATGTCTTCTGGATTGGAAAAAAAAGAGACACGTAAACGCCTGATCGTGGTTTTAGAGTTTTGTCCTCTTGAAATCATCAGGGTTGGAAAATCAAGAGATGCGCGCATGCAGCTTCTCAATTGCGATGATCATTCAAATCTTCTCCGTCGTCAGCAAAGGGACCCGAACGAATTTCGCCCAGACATTGTGCATCAGGTATTCCCGGCTGCATTTTACCTCTTTAGTGTCTTTTAACCCTTTTAGACTCGCCCCTAAACAAGGCCGGGCTTTTGCAAGTATTTGTACATACACGTTCAAATGTGCTTATAGAGGTACACCCGCACATTCGACTGCCTAGAACGTTCCCCAGATTTGCGGGCCTTTTTGGTACGACATTTTTTAATTGTCTAGTCCAACTGCTCGAAAAGCTTTCAATTAAATCTTCTGCCGGGGAACGTCTGTTGTCTGTGATCAAAAATCCAATTACAGATCACCTCCCCCTTGGAGCGGTGAGAATCGGGCTGTCTGGCGACGACGCAAAAGCAGCAGTTAACATCCGAAATTGGATATCAAGCGAATGTTCGGAAATTGCCAAAGACAAGCCGACCGTTGTGTTTATAGGAGCCATGGCACATGGCTCTGATGATTTTGAATTTGCGGAAAAAAAAATCAGCATATCTAACTACCCGCTATCCGCATCCGTAGCATGCGGCAAAGTCTGCTGTGCCTGGGAGGAGCTTTGGGGGATCATTTAACACTAAATTAATCATTAAAAGGGCTTTTAAGTATTAAAGATGGGAAGAGGTCCATTCGCAGACCGCTCTGAGCCTGGCAGCAACGCTATCGATGAATTCCCAAGTATTGCAATATTGATTGGTGGAGACGGTATTCCCATGAATACAGATGGCCAGGTCCTTGGTCATTTTGCGGTCAACTTGGATGGTGTCGATGGTAGCCTTTTCGAGGGCATTGCAAAAGGCAGCCAATTCTTCGTTTGAATCCAGTTTAGCTCGATGGGAAAGCCCCCGCGTCCAAGCAAAGATACTTGCAACGCTATTTGTGCTTGTCTCCCTTCCCTAAGACAACGGGTCAATGCAATGCGAGATTACCTTCATGTGCTCGCGATAATGGCGAGTAACGGTGCCATGTGCAGCTTCAGATTCGCAGATATCGCCGGTGGGATCATATAGGACGGATGACATCAAGCCTAGCGATCCGAATCCTTTGAATTAAAAGACATGCATACCCTGAGCAACGATATCAGACTGCACGTCTCCATCGTAGTTCTTGCAAGCCCAAAGAAAGCCACCGCTCCCCTTGACACACTGGGCAACCATGTCATCAATAAGCCTATGCTCGAAGGATATCCCCTTTGCGTCAAACAGGGCCTTATATTTGGCGTGATACAGCGTCTCAAACACGGACTTGAAGGCATTATCATAGACTTTCAGAATCGTATTTTTTGTCGATAAAAACAGCGGGTATTTTTTCAACAGTGCATACTGGAAGCAACTGTGCGCAAATCCCGTGATGCTCTACAATGGGCGGTCTCTAAATACCTCTGTCGTGTTAAACATGGCCATGGCCACGGCTGTTTGCGTGTCGGCAGAGGACGCCAAATTGCACACTTCCAATCTTTCTTCACGGCCAGAGTGAGCAGTATACACAAGCTCGATTTTTCCAGGCCTTTCAAATAGAATTTCGGCCGCTTGGTACTACATACCGATGAACGCTGGACAGCCAAACCTGATCGCCAAATCCGTGTCTCCCAACGATAATGGGCTCTTTCCAGTTCGGAATCAGACGCGGGATAGAGTCAATCAAAATGGGCTCCCTGAATATGGTGCCATTTAAAATGGCTC